AGAAGGGGGAGGGGGGCACTAGATTTCCTCCTCCTGTCTACTGGCGGGACGTGTTGGACAAAGAATTATAGGGAAAGAGGGGGAGGAGGTATTGCATGTGCAGATGCCGTGAAGGAGGATAGAGTCAAAGAGGAAACAAGTCTGAGAGAGCGATGGATAGAAGGTATTGCATGTGCAGATGCCGTAAAAGAGGATAGAGTCAACCAGACATCAATTTTTCGGGGAAGTAGGGGAGAAGGTATTGCATATACAGGTATCTGAAGGAGGATCGAGCCAATTGGACAAGTCTTTGGGAAAGAAGTGGAGGAGGAATTGCATATACGGATGCCTTGAAAGAGAAAAGAGCCAAGAAGACATCGAATCTAAGGAAAAGGAGGTACGGAGGTATTGCATATACAAGACACGGAGAAGGGAGAGGGACATCGAGAAAAATCTTTTTGTGGCATAATCTCAAAAATTCTAGTTGTGTGTGTGTTGTGTACACTTTAGGTATTGCTTGTTTTCGATGTATTCCACGAATGTTTCTCTCCAAGTACTAACCCTGAGAGCTATCAACTACCCAAGCCTGCAGAGTCCCTTTCCTTCCTCTTTTGCTTTTTCCTTCCTTCCTATCCATGATGTATGGCCCCGCCTGTAGCCCTCTCAATCCTTCCCGCATGTCCGGTTTTTTCCCTTACTCTTCCTTCCTCCCTTTCTCCCTTCTTTCCCTCTCTCCAGCTCTCCCGTTTACCGTCACTTCAAGGAGAGGAAGAAGGGTAGGACGACAGACGGCACACTCCTTCTCGTTTTCCCAGTACCCCCGTCCCCCGAAGCTAGGTTCTTCCTGAGACCTCCGGCTCTCCCAGTTCTACATGCGCCACTTCTACACTTCAGAAAATAGCTCATCCGAAAGTGGTTATTGTCATAATGAGGACGTCTTGTCAATGTGATATACAATTTAACATGTACAATAGTTTCGGGTCATCACAAGTCGTGTTTGTCACAGTGAGAATGCAACGTCATAGGTATAAGCGACATAAAAGGTTCTGGCTGGTCATGTGGCGTTTCGTAGTATGGACGTAACGTTTAAAAACAAGACTTCCATCTTCTAAACTTTATCATGCTGGCGCAGCAGAGAGCTTCTTGATGTGGAGGGTAGTTCCGTTACTGTGCCACCAACCGTATAAGATCGCCTGCTCCACTTAACTCTCCGTCCCATCTTGCTTTTATAAGATCGGTACACAATGCCCTCGTGATTTCATGCATACCGCACTCACTACCTTCACGCTTCAGTGTAGTGCATCATACGTAGAGGGCCTCGACTCTTTGAAAGGGGCGTATGGCATAGTGAGAACTTATCATTTCAGGGAGAGGGGGGATTAGTTCCGTTCGTGCGACCCGAGAGTGGGATTGCGTGTGGGATTCTGTTCGCTCCGACCGGTGCGTCCTGTATTCCCGGTGAACGCATGCATCTCATCTCTTTTCGATGGAATGCATTGCAAAGACTTTAAACGATAGGAGCTCCCCTGGACGCTTATCTGCTGTGCACTGCGTCTTGTCACAGCACAACGTGGCGCTGAAGATTCTGCTCTGAGGGGTGCAGCCTGACGACCCTAGATTGGGCCCATACCACAAAGCGTGTAGGAGCGGTACTCGATGCCCTTGTACTTCTACTCATTCCTCACCGGCCATCTTCCTTTTTCAGTGTCCTTAAGCATACGTGGAACTGAGCATAGTCATGCTGTGCACAAAGGTGAGGACGAAGCCGCTTTTCTTTCTAGTTGGCATGCTGGCCGTGAGCATTACGAGTGCCGCACCTGCGTTTATGTACGGAATCGATAGTTTCAATGAGATTATTGAATACGATCCGGTTAACAAAGTCACAAGGGTTGTCAAGGAGACAGATTTGAACAAGCGCTCAGGAAGCAATGCATTTGGCTTTGACGAGGCCAGGAACCAAATGTTTTGGTTCTATAAAGGCGATAAGACCGGTGGTCCCAATCTTGCCGGCTTGTACTATTGGGATCAGGTCACCGGAGCCATTGACCGTATCGCAAGCCAAGAACAATCCTGGACCAATCAAAGATTTCCGCTAAATGCTGATTTCTACCCCGATCCCAGCACTGGCAATTCATATTTCGTTTGGGTCACTGGAGGAGGGAGTACGGTCAACTTTCTCCCCATCACTTATGATGTATCCGACAACCCTATTGGAGTTGGAAGCAGAATTCAACGAACTATTACAGGGCCTGATTTCAGTCCAGATTCTATGAATTTTGGCGACATTGCCATCAAGACCAGCACCGACACGTTATATTTGGCAACAGCACTAGAAGGGGGATTCGCTAAGATTGACCTCGACGACGCATTCGAGCAGCCCACGCTTCCTTACACAGAGATCACGAGGGGCAATCCCCCCCTCCAGGTTGCATTTGACTGCGAGGAAGAAATCTTGTACGGTCAGCAACTCATCCGCCCCAATAATAATTTCAGTGACAATTGGTACACCATCGACCTGGAGACTGGAGTGGCGACATCAATTCCTGATTACTCAACTACAGGCCGACTATCAGCATTCGATCTAGGTGGATCGGCATGCTCTGCGTCGCCTCAGACAACAAGGTAAGTGATGAAATCGTCCTCGACAGATGACATTTTCAAGTGACTTACATTCGTGCACAATCATTCGCATCCATTCCACCCATACCAGCCCTACCCCAGCTCCTACCGGAGATCAAACCGATAGTCCTACCGCTTCTCCCTCATCCATTGGTCCAACAAGTGAGTTCCGCTACATAGTCGTCAAGCTCAGCTCTCTGAGACCTGAAGAGGAGGATAGTCTCATCCATGTGACGAGGGACCTTGTCCGCTGGGCTCGATATCCTTACTTGACAATGTTGAGTCTTCAATCCGCACATCATACCTGTCCTGATGTCACTGAGATCGTTCTCGTCATCTGATCTAGACCTTTCCGCCTTTCTCCAGTCACACCCACTCCAGTTCCCACGTCGTCGGGACCAACGCCCTCCCCGAATCCCACTGCCTCCCCAACCATGAGTCCTACTGGCAGCCCGACAGCGGCACCGACCTCGACTCCGACAGCATCTCCAACAACTATGCCCACCCCGAGTACGTGGCATGTCTAGCATATTTGTCATCCTTTGTGCTTTAAGCGCGTGCAGGAATCGGACTGAAGAATGTTTTACGTAACCCTCACCTCATCCTGATATAACAGGTCCCACTTCTCCCTTACCATTTTGCCGTGAGTGCGCTTTACAAAACACTGCTTGCAAGGATACTGGAGGTATGTAGCTCGCCTAAGAGGAGACAGAGCAAGCATGGACTCAACAACATCTCACATGCTCATTTTCTATTCTCTGACCTGCATGACCACGTGGAATAGCAAACTACCTGGGCTTCTTTCCTGATACTACGACCCCTGAGGAATGTTCGACGCAGTGCCAGGTCTCCTTTCCTGGTCTTGTGAACTGGTTCACACTGATTCCCGAAGAGGAGGTAAGCTGGGACGCGTGCTCCAGTCATCCTTTCCCCTGTGTCATGGACCCGTGCTATCAAACCATACCTGACCAACCATCCCATGACATAATATCCACTCACGCTTTAGAGATGCGAATGTCTCTTCAGCTGTGCAATCCAGATCCCTGAGCCTGGGTCGACCACTTTTCCTCTGCTGCCTCCTTGTGACCCTCGTTTCAAATACAAGCAAGCCGCGCGCAAAAGGGTGGTAATCAGGGCCCGAAAGCCCAAGACCACTCTGTCCACT